AATTTCACTCTTCTCTGAGCGTTCACGGAGTCCGACATTACACGAATCCGTGGAAAAGGCTACATTCAATCTCAAACTAGGTCACGCCAATGAGGCAAAAAGACAAATCAGCGAATCTGCCCGCAATACAAAACGTATACAAAATAAAACATATATTCAATCCACAATTTTCCCGAGTAACTAATGAGCGCCACCATGATGGATTTGAACTTCCGTTCCGTTATTCCGGCACTACACCGGCTAAACGCCGGATTTTGTTCCGCACGCTAGCGAATCCTCTCGCTGTAAGTAACACTGTAAATTAGAGGTTCATTAATTCTAAAGGAACTTTGTGAGATCGCGATGAACTGAAGTAAATGACACATTTTTAGTGATTATAAAGGAAGGGCTATTTGCGCACTTTCTAGGCTAAATGTAATCCGTTCAGAATTTAAATGAAAATTTTGGTTTTCGTGCTGCTAAGGGGCCATTTACCCCACAAGCAGCAGTTTCAGAGTGACATTATAAATCCCTCATTACTCACGTAAATGTGGGATTCATCTTCAAATGGAGAAAAATATCATTTGTCAAAATAGAGGTTCATTAAGCAAAATAAATATACACTAACCGATTAATAGAAAAATATATGAATTTTCGTGTCAAAATATTTTTTTAATGCGGTTGCATTAATTTATAAAAGTAATGACTATTAGCCTAAATCTTGCAATTCTCTCACTGTACATTGCTATTCTTGTGGTAAAAAGTTAATAGTTTTCTCTTAGTCTCTTCTGCTCACCATGGCTGCATTTATTTGATCAGAAATACAGAATAAAACAGTAGGCTAATATTGTTAATATTATTGCAAATTAAAATAATGGTTTTCTATTTTAATATATTTTAAAATATTATTTATTCCTGTGATGCAAAGCTGAATTTTCAGTATCATTACTCTAGTCTTCAGTGTCACATGATCCTTCAGAAATCATTCTCATATGCTTATTTATTATCAACAATGGAAACAATTTTGCTGCTTAATATTTTTTTGGAAACTGTGATAATTTTTCAGGATTCTTTGATGAATGAAGTTGAAAAGAACAGCATTTATTCAAAACAGAAATCTTTTGTAAGACCACCATTCCAAAGTTTGGGGATTTTTTTATTTATTTATTTTTTTAAAGAAATTAATGCTTTTATTCAGCAAGGATGTGTTAAATTGATAAAAAAGTGATAATAAATACTTGTATTGTTAGAAAATATTTTTATTTTAAATAAATGCTGTTCTTTTTAACTTTATTCATCAAATAATCCTGAAAAAAAGTATCACAGGCTCCAAAAAAAATATTAAGCAGCACGACTGTTTTCGACATATTACTGCGCTAAATTCATACGTTGCTTGGCAACCGTATACAGCCTTAGGGTCATTCACACAGAACGTGTTTTGCGTTTAAAAATACACGAGAATCCAGTGTACTTATATATATATATAAAAAGTGGTCCAAACATTTAAGGTAATGCAATGATGCAATACAATGATGACTGAGAGATGTACAAATAAACGTTCCTCAAAAACCTGTATTTAATATATTAACATATTTGTCTGATGAAACCAAAGCAAGTGTTCATTTTGAAATATTACTAACAATATAAAACTTATTCTTAGCTTTACTTTATAAAAATCAATAGTAGTACATTGTGTATAGCAGTTTTTTCAGCTGGCTACAATAGCTCATTTTATTTCTTAACTACATTTACATTTAATAATGTCAGAGTTGAAGAACGCAAACAGGTGGAAATATTACACATTTACCAGTGAGAGCCTGTGTGTCTGTATTTAAATAGTCTTCTAACCCTCTGGTACAACCTGAAGTTCAGACTAAAGAGCTCTAGAAATGGCTCAGAACATTATAGAAATCTCAATCTGTTATTATTAGAACACAGTTCTACAAAATTACTTGGGTTGACACAGTACATGCTGTGAATGCGGTGTTCACATCTGATTAAAACCATATGTACAGGTTGCCCAACAGGCTCCACATTCCTTCGTGTGAAGGTGGAGAATAAGCAAACAGAACCCCCCGGAAGGCATGTATCTGTTATCTGGTTCCCAAACATGATGCATTCCAGAATGTGCTGCACGGCCTCTTAGTGGTAGTTATACAGAACCCAGGCCAAGTAATTTAAAATCATATATTATATACTTCACTATCTGAATTTTTCCCACAGGACCTGTGGAATTGATATTTCTCATTCTTTAGTAAGAATCCTGCTTCTCCTGGAAGTCTATGGAAAACAAAGGATGATATGGGTGAAGCAAATCTTGAGCAAGACCACCACTGCTTTGAGAGGCTTCTGTTGTTAGGGCTCAGAGATAAAGTCTCCCCTCTCCCATGCTTCTACTCTCTGTGTACAACCAGATAACGTAACCATGGAAACATGCAGCATCCAACCAATCAGCAATCAAGACCTTCCCTCCAGCCTGCTCCTCTCATGATATGCAAACAATTAATACCTTCAGCAGGAAAAATAAGAGTATGTGAGATGGTGGGACGTTTCCATGTCCTCGTCTCACTGTCTGCAGTTTTCTGCCCAAGGACAGGAGGTCTATAAGAGTGATGTTTTCCATTGTGTGGGATTAATGCCGTGTGCAGAGTCAAATCCCACACACAAAAGCAGAGATGGGCATTGAAAATACATAACAGCACACATCACTGACTCTGGGAGTTAAACGCAGCTTGGAGGAAATGAATTTTCCTTACATTAACACAATTACATTACAGTCTAATGTGCTTTTGATAGCTTGAACATAGCGTTTCTGAAATTACTACATATTCACAGTGCAATTATTCCACCCAGAATTGCCCAAATTGAAAAATATACTGACATCCAGCAGTTAATCACTTGCTCTGTACTAAAATTATGGCTTGCTGGTGTTTGTGATTGGTTACAAATTCTCATCTATCAATATTTAGGACTGCGAGACATTATGATCTTTTAGTTATTACTATAGACATCGGCATCATTGCAACTAGTTATGTTATTGACCGCCGCCTGAGAAATTAAACGGATATTAATTAAAGGTGTCTTGAAGTCCTTCATTGTGTGATAGTAAAAACCAAACAAAAACATTAAAACATTAAATTACATTCACAAAGGGTTCACAGTGCCATAATGTTAGAACAGCATCTGTGAGAAACGGCTGTGGTTATTCAGTCTCATACATAATACATAATAACAGTATTGTCCTGAGAAAAAGACCTGGCAATACTGTACTGGATAAAATGAGACCTTCTGCAGTACTGTCTGCAGTAGAAAATTCTGTCATCATTTTTAAATATTACAGATGCATATTACTTTCTTACATGGTAAACAAATTAACAAATTTTGTTTGAATATTTTTCTAAAAAGTGGACTGGGTGTCTTAAGATTAAAAATGAAGGGGAAAAAAAGTAAGTGGTCCACACAACTTGAGCAACAAATTTTCCAAAGCAATATGATAAATATGTGATAGAAAAAGGCTTAAATTTAAGCGGCATTTGCTTAAAATCTTTACCATAGTTCTCAAATCTCATTTGTGCATCTGCTCATTTCAGAAAGAATTGTATGCGTTCAAAAAAAGAAAGGTCAGTCAATACTCAAGTGCGTAGAACAAAAGTAGTTGTATCAGTCAAGTAACCAAAGTTGACCGCACACCAAGAAAAAAAATCAATTTAATACATTCTGCACCTTTTCGCTTTTTTCACAAGCAATAAGAAAAATTAAAGATCTGTTTTTGATAGATCTCTAGTCTGATTGTATTTTTTATTTTATTTTTTCTGTGCGAGCAACTTTGGTTACTTTTGCATCGGTTTATTAAAATATATAACAATGCCAACATCACGCGTCTCAACAGCAAACCTCATGCACTGTAAAAAAATTTTTTTATTGTAAATGAATGTTATCAGAGTATGTTTTACAAGAAAATACTATTTACTTGACATTTCTTTGTAATTATTACACTTTGTAATGTACTAGCAATTTCTGAGTGAAGATTGTTTCTACACCACTTTTTTTAGTGTGCCTTATTTGATTTTAGATTTCAGATTAGCGTTAATTTTTTGGGTTAACTAACTTTTAAGAGTTACACTCAGTTATACAATTCAAGGAACTTTTTGCAACCATAACAAATGTATTACTAGCTGATTTGTTTAAACCCACATACGAGTAATTTAAATGCCAATTATTTGACTCTAGTCTAATCAAAGCTAAGCAAAGCAATTTGTCACCCATTTCTACACTTTGATTTACCTGACTTAAACCGGGACAATGACTGAGCTTGCAGTACAAATTAGTTATTTGCAATGACTCGGCTGATTGCTTCTGGGAGCATGTTTTATGAAGAACCCTCAAGGGCACCACTCCACAAGTCCACATGCACGAGTTTTTCACTCGCACACAAACCACCATCGCTTCAGGTTCTGTTGCTCTTGGTCAGAGAAGCCACCGTGCTTTTGCGAGTCATTGATTAATTGTGGTCATTAGGCAGTGAAAGAATGGCCTCACCTGGAGTTAGAGGTGGAAATCAACGGGAGATTAAAATTAATCACTCTGAAAAGCGACAGTACCGACTGTAGCCTGCGGAGAGCAGGATGCAGAGGAGGGAATGAGTGAATATCTCAGTGAAAGTGTGTAGAATGATAGTGGTTTCATTTTTATTAAAAAATACATCACAAAAAGCACACAAAAATAAAATGAGGTTTATACATGATGCGCAAACCAAACAAATAGGAAGAAAAAAAGTTAATGTAATATTAGTACACAGGTTTTTAAAGAAAACATCTACAGTTAATAATCATTGGTTGACTCTTATTAGTAAGGAGAGTATCTATCTCTTTAAATGGCACTGTACAGAGAACCGGCCTAACCTCTACTGTAATGAAATAACAAATGGGCTCCATCCAAACAGAAAACAGATGATTCGGTTCAAGAAAGTCGATTCACACAGCAGTAAAGGTTTGCTGATCAAAGATCAGATTTCCATGTTTACACTGGCATTAGTCTCCATGTTTAAACAAGCTGAACTGATCCTGTAACTGCACCTTTCAAGCTTAATAAATTAAAGGCAGGGAAATCACAAGTACATGTGCTTTTGGGTAATGACAACATATGTATAATAAATGTTAATAATACCTTATCCAGATGGTGGATGATTAGCCTGATCATCCTCTTTTCCTTCATCAAATTCGCAGCCTGAGCGCCAACAGCCGTAAAGACAAACGCAATCAATCGCACCCAACATTACAGTAAATATATTTACACATTCAACAGGAACCCTGGTCAAAAGACAAGCAGATCATGAAAAGGCTGCTATTTGTGTACAACAGACACACAGACAGACAGCATATAGTTGTCAGCATACACAATACCCTTCCATGAGACCAAAACCAGCATTTATGAGAGAAAAAAAAAAAGGAACAGTTTGTTATACATCTATCAATATATTGAATGTTTGTTGCACAGAAACTGGCAATAAATCATGTAATGTTAAATTTTGCATTACAACATCCTTAATCAAAATGTACTTTAAATTATGATTGTTTTGTAATCATTCACGTGTTATTTACTGCTGACATGGATCCACCAGTGACACCAGTTCATTACACCCAAAGTTAAAAAAGGCACAGTGTGAACGTTAGGGTGACCCTGCGGGATGAAATATACAGTAACCCAAACAATAAAGACTGTTTCCTCAAGAATGATGACACTCACTGTGGTGGATACGGTGACTTGAGAGTGTTAAGACTAATCCTAATCAATAAAGTATTCATAAACATTCAAAAGTCTTTTAAAAATCTATAAGCAAACAACCAATCAGAGACTTGAGCACTAATCACTCTGACACGAACCGATGGGGGTTTACAACTGCCAAATGGTCCAAAAAAAATAAATTAAAAAAAATTCAAAGAAGGTTACGAGTTCCAGTATTAGCTCATTTTCAGATAAAACAATCTCATGTTCATATATACACATCACATGTAAATTTTCAATCCAAACAAACGCTGTTATCTTTTTTTTTTAAAACAATATCATCCAGAAACCAAAACCAACCCACATATTTTCCACAGACCTTTCAGTACATTTTTACCCGGCTTTTGTAGCATAAAGAAATAATAATTGTCATAGATAAATGGTTTAAAGTTGCCTAAAAATTTTTCAAACTGATAAAAAAGCAAAAAGAATAACAAATAGCTTGGGAGTTCTCATCTAAAACCAAGAGCTATGGGTTGTACTACATGCATTTCATTTAGTTCAATGGGTTTCATTTCATCTCTGGAGAACACTTAATAGGAAAACAATTCAAGTGTCATATTCTATAGGGCCTTCTATTTTTAAAATGAAAAAAAAACATCATGCATTATTTACAAAACAGGAGCAGGCGAATCAGTCACCTTTCCGCATCCCACTGAATAAAGTTTTTGTTAACATTTGTTGAAGTTCTGTAAGTCAAATTGTATTATCAGAGATGGTACAAGCCGAGTTCGACTCACTGCAGAGACCTTTATTTGCTCCTTCACAAATTCCACTAGAACAATGAATAGAATAGTGACAGTCAAAATGTGTGGAGAACGATCCCAGTTCAGCTTTACACAATGGAACCATCCCTGTTCTGGGCAGGGACCATGACAGCGATGGCCCCCATGCGGCTTAGGTTGGGGCCGGCCATTCTGCTGGGTGGGGGAATAGGGGCATGACTAGGGGGCTTCTCGTACTCTTCAGAGGGTATCTTGTCATACTGGGGCTTGGTGTACTCGTGCAGGTTGGAGGGAGACATGGAGCCCAGAGAGGAGCGCTGGCTGCCCAC